GTGTGATAGTAGTGTGATAGTAGTATGATAGTAGTGTGATAGTAGTGATAGCAGTATGATAGTAGTGTGATAGTAGTATGATAGTAGTGTGATAGTAGTATGATAGTAGTATACCAGTAGTATGATAATAGTATGATGTTTGACTGTGGCCCACAGTGAGAGGCTCTGGTCAAAGATCAAACAACCATCTGAGGCAGCAGGAGCCGGGAGTGACGTCAGAGCAGCAGAGAGGAGCGTGCGCCGCGAGCAGCCCAGCTGTGTGTGTGTTTGTGTGTGAGTGGCTTTGAGGTGACAGTGGGCTAGCTTTCACACAACAAGGAAGTGGAGGACATGTCGCTCAACTGAAGGCACAAACAAAGACGAAACCGTCGACTTTCCCTTGGAGGTAAGCTCAGCAGCAGGAATGGAGTGTTTGTGGCTCATTGTGATCGGGTAACGTCACGAGACGGACCGAAGGTCGGCGGTTGAACGTTAGATCTAGCCGCGATGTGACCCGCTAGCTGCCGTATTGTTTCACGCATGAGGGGAAAGGTATTGTAGCTTCCTCTGCTGATCGCCCGCGTCTCTGTCGATACATTGTTGAAGACTGGAGGTTCTGGAGGTGTTTGTTTTACTTGTTTCATGTTCGCCATTTGTTATACACGAGGATTATGAGAGAACACAGCCTTCGTCCCTACACTAGCGGCGGTCGCTGTTCCCGTCTGACGGTCCGGGTGCTCCTCTCAGCCGCAGCAAACATCGTGTGGTGTGCCGGCGGACTGGAGACCAGGCGTGATTTGCTGCGTTCATGTAAGAGCAACGGGGGCATAGACGAGGCCGTGTGACTCACATGCAATGCAGTTATTTATCCAACCGCCTTGTCAAATTTGGCAAGGGAAGGTCTATGAAAACTGCACTTCCAACAGGAACTGCTGTTCCTGCGGTGTGTTTGTATAGGTGTGTATGTTAGATAGTCCTGATGAGCAGGCGGCACCTTGCATGGTAGCCCTGCCATCAGTGTGTGAATGGGTGTGCATGAGTGAATGATGACATGTAGTGTCAAAGAGCTTTGAGTGGATGGAACACTAGAAAAGAGAAATACAAGTACAGTCCATGTAACATTACATTTACCGGTTCCTTTTCTTCTTCCCTCTCTCACCCCTCTCCCTCCTCTCTCCCTCTCTTGTCATCTTCTCAGACTCCTGATTTGTGCTGTCCTTCCAGCTCCAGTGCTCACGGTTTCAACCGTGTATCCTCATGTTGATCGGCAAGCAGCTTCCTCTGAGATGGAGATGAGCCACGGCGGTGCCACCGTGTTTGTGTGTACCCCATTAGCCTCCTCAGCCTGAGGCCACACCAGCTGCCCGTCACTGTCATTCTCAATATCCGTGCCCAAACATGGCCACCGTTCCTCCTGGGATCCGCCTGCTGGTGTCCTTCGACAGGGACCAGTGGTGAGTCTGAACCTGGTTGTGTGTGTTTAAGCGGGTGTAGTCTCTTTAAAGTCTTTACGTAGTTAGTCTTTCCTCTGAGTTTGTGTTTCTGTCAATTTGCCATCAATGTGCAGCTAATGTGAAAGTGTGAATTGTTTGCCAGCTGTTTTAGTCGTTGGCAATCAGTTTATTTGAATGTGGATGTGCAGATGTGCTTATTTCATTTTGACTTGTTGAATTTCTCCCCATTCAAGACTATTTCAACAAGATGCCACAGTTAATCAAGATATTATTTATTCAGATATTTCTGTGCAATATGGACATTTCAGTGTATCAGTCAGCACGTACAGACCTTTCTGTCCATGTGGGCCGAGCAGTAATGTCACATCATGCATTCCCATGACGTTTGTCACTGAGGATGGTGCACAGCAGAGTCCTGAGAACAGGAACTACTACATTCTACTGAGGGCTTTCAAAACATTAGTTGGCATCGTAGTGTTGGGCGGACGTGGGGTTGGTCACGCTTTGACGTCAACTGCAAGAAGTCATGCGAGTTGTTGCATTGCAGGAAGTTACATACGGCGTATAAGAATCATCAGATTCATCTAAATGAAAGGATGCGGCTGTTATTGTATATCTTTCTTATTGTATTGTTAACATGTCTCATGAAAACTGCAAAACCACCAATGTGTTAGCCCGTCTCTCTTCTTGACTTTCCTAAACGGTCTTTGGTTGTCAGTAAATCTTTAGAAACAGCTCACACATGTCGAGGAGGCTGCGCCCTGTAGCTTTTAACAAACGTTACTCGAACAGGATGAAACAGATTCATTTGTTGTACTAGCGAGTAGAGTCTTCACACAGTGTTTCCCAAAGGATCGTGTACATTTTAAAGTTACTTGCGCTTGTATTAGCAGAGGTGAAATGTAACTAATTACATTTAGGCTATTTAAGTTGTATTTAAGTACAACTTTGAGGTACTTGTACTTAATTTGAGTACTTCCATTTCATGTCTCTTTATCCTTCTAGTCCACTACATCTCAGAGGAATATATTGTCCTTTTAACTTCACTACATCTATTTGACAATATTAGTTACTCGTTCGGCTGCTTTGCCGATTCAAACTCTTAATACAAAATATAAATCAAGGAAGAAACTCTGAAGCATTGAGTTTTATATAACCTGGTTATTAAGTAGTTAGAATGAGCTCCAGCTTAAAGAGCCACTTCCACCCTCGAGCTGAACTGCAGCTGTTCACCAGCCGTCCGTTATGGAGTCACTGTGAGCCGATGGCGAAGTGAAATAGTCTGATAGAGTCTACGTACTTCATGGGAAACATGAGCTCTTTGGTTTACTGGGGTAATGGCTGCATACCAAACAAAGACAACAACCTGATGAGTCCAATACTGATTCAAACCTTGATTACCATGGCACCGGTGGAAGTTTTGAAGCATAATAAAATCAGCCGGGCTATATGAGGATAAGGATAAATATTGTGAGGTAGATATATATTTGGTGCAGCTTCAGCACGCAGTGTGGTGTCTGTGACAGCTGGGTTGGAGCAGCGCCTTACCAGCTGTGTTGCTGTTGTTGTTGTCAGCAACACACTGACACACACTGGAACGTGCTCACAGAGTCCCGTCGAGCTGACTCAACTGGTTTATCTCCAGTCAGCTCACGCACGCACGCACGCACGCACGCACGCACACACACACACATACACACGACGTCAGGTTGATCAGACTTCCAGTGGCGCTACAACAAGACGTGTAGTGGTGAGCTCCTCAGAGTCGTTTTTTCAAAATGCCTCCTATTAATATAGATCTGCACTTAGATAAGATCAGGTTGAGTATGAGAGGAGTGAAATCCCAAATGAGGTGTACGTCTGAGAAGAAAATAAAGAAATCACAAGAAAAGATTATATTACAAGATCATATTATATCGCTCCCTTCTGTGCTAAGTTACCAAGTGCTTTCAATATGTTTGGAAAATTACATGATGACCTATTTTTATTTATTTATTTATTTTTTTCCTCACTTGCATGTTTATTTCAGCTCCGCTGGTTGCATGTCGATATGTCCCTGAGCAAGACACTTAACCCAAAAACTGCTCCCGTAGCTGAGTCTATGGTGTGTTAGTTTGATAGGCAGGTGTCACTTAGCCCCTCCCATCAGGGTGTGAATGGGTGAATGATGACATGTAGTGTTAAAGCGCTTTGAGTTGTCGAAAAGACTAGAAAGCAGGAGACGCTGTTTCTTGGCTCAAGAGCCAAAGTTCAGACTAGATAGAAAACACACGTGCACAGATTCAAGTCACAACAGAAGACACATTAAGACAACCCAACAGTGTGCACAACAATGTTTGTGTCAAAAGTTGATCACAAAAAAAACGTTTTGATCAACACACAAATATTTCTTGTTTTAAATAAATATAATGGAAATCCACAAATATATGTTTTCACCAGGGAATCATCAGTAGCCAATCAGATGTCGCCTCAATTTCCACCCTCTAAAATGAGCGCGTCCTCACGAGGGTAGACTTTACCCAAGACAAGTCTGCAAAGATCCCAAAAGTATCCAAACAAAGAGATGCAGCTCACAGAAGTGAAGGTTACATCCACGATGTTGAAGGAATACGCCGGCACACGGCGTGTTAACGTTACTAACTGACATTAGCTAAGTTAAGTAGTCAAGTAGCTAACTTACTTACTTCAGCTTGTCTTGAGGAATCCATGCGTTGGCTTGCAGTGTCCATGTTACACTTTACTGTTTCTGTCAGAGAAGAAATGACCGATCTGTTAGTTTGATATATTCGTAATATGACAGCTGGCTGACTCTAGCTAGAGTTTGCTTATGTTAACGTTAGCTATGTGTTTGTTTGCCACGTGATATCTGTGAGTCTGAAACAAGTGCTACAGTGCTGATACCCCCGACTTTAACTGCTACCAGAACAAACAGGTTATACACAGTAAGCCAGGCTACTTTGTTTGGAAACCAAGAGATGTGTGAAAGCACTGCACATGTAGATCTAGAACTCATTTTCATTCTTATTTGGAGCCAAAAAACACATTGAATATTTCTTATGTTCCCTTTCATTGCCAATAGAGCGAGATTAAGTGATGTCCCTTTTCATTTTCTAATACTGTGAAGAAATACCGTCGCTGCAGAAACAAACACCAAATCCCATGATATAGAGGTCCTATCACCCACACCTGCTACTGGTCATGTTACACAAATATCCCTAAATACCATCTTCTTCTCTGACTGCTGTGTTTTTAGCCTGTATTGTTGGCAATGAAGGAGACTACAAGCGTGAGCTGTGTCCTGTCCCCCCCTCACCTCACACTGACACAGGACATGCTGGTTCCCCTCAGAGGGTCAGAGGGGGGGGTTTGGATCTGTTCTCTGGTCCTTCGGCGCTCACTGCTGCCCTCTTGTGTTTCCTCTCTGCAGGTACAGAGCTCTCACTTTCCTCCTCACCTTCCTGCTCTACACCAGCTTCCACCTCTCCAGGAAGCCCATTAGCATCGTCAAGGTAACAAATGCTCATTGTTATTGTACACTCAATACTTCACATGCCTGGCATCAGAGGCCCCTCTAGGGACAGGAGCTAAACATGCTGTGATACATTGCATTGGAAAATTGTTGTGCAATTCTCATTTCGTATATATTCGACTATGTATTTGTCCCTATTGGATAAACATGACATGCATCTGCATCCACACAAACAGCAACACACCCTGAGCCAGTTTCCCTGACGGTGATGCATCCCCAGTGTAAAACTGAACACTATTAAGATGAGACTGCCATTGATGATGATCTTATGATGAGGCTCGACTTAAGCTTAGAACGGGGAATTAGCCTTCTGTGTTTAACCACCGCTGTCCATTAAAGGGATGGCATTGTGAAGTATGCGGAACTGTGCCAACACATACCAGAGCATCCTTGTGCAACATCAGTTATCCTACCAGCTTCAGCAATGACTCAGTAGTAACCTGCGCCTCAAGCAGAGAGCTGAGGAGAATATCCATTCTACAGATGGACCTGTGCGCGTCAGCGTTGTGTGTTTAACGGCTCTATCTCTATGACAGTGCTATGACCAGTGCAAGCACAGCAACTGTGGAGCATTAAGGGGATAGTTAGTTGTTTTTAAAGTGTGGTTGTATGAGGAATTCATCCATCAGCGTGTTACCCGTCAGTATTACCCTTATTATCGCTTTGTAGTTCCCAGTCAGGCTGTCTGGCGGCAAGGTGAGAATATTCTAAACACAGCGTACTCCTCAGCTAATACTGACTTTTGTTAGGTGTCTATAATACGTTCTGCTGACGCCCCGTCCACAGCAGTACATGGCTTTGCTCCCGTGGTGGTACTCCGGTCTGCTTTGGCTCAGAGGTAGAATGAGTCGTCTCTGGTCACATGGCGTGTGAGAGGGGGCAGTTAGCCTCAGCACCAGCTGACATAGAGGACTCTTTTCTGGGCTCAGCTTCTGGGTTTGGAGGGCATTGGAGTGGAGGATTTAAGGTGGTTAAGACATGCGAGTGCTCTCTTTTGAATGTTAACTATCAGTGGGTCTAATTATGCTCTACATGGTGTTTCTGTGTACGTGTAAAATGTAACTTTTCTACTATGTCCAGCTGTTGTAGTCCTTGCTCAGCAGGAGACAGTCACAGCAGGTCGTCAGCATAAAACAGACTCTTCACCTCTCTATCTGGAGGGAGAGGCCTCAGTGAAGAAGTCTGTGAGAGAGCCTTTCATGCCAAACAGAGTCGAGAGCGTTCTAGAAATCAGTGAAACAAGTGAATATCTAACCATTGTTTAGTGTTTGTTAGTTCAAATGTGAAGAGTATGTCTGTGGTGGGTTGTTCTGGCACAAAATATCGATTCCAAGTATCAATATTTATTATACAAACTATTAATATTGCAATTAGGGATGTTGGGAGTAACTGCGGTTGTTTAAGTCACAGTTTCATCACCATACGTGTAGAAAGAGCTACTGTATCGATGGTGTCCTGACTCCTGCATTGAGACATGTTGATGGAGTGTGCGGTGAAATCTCCTCTCGAGTCAGTCACGTAACACGTGTGTGTGTGTGTGTGCGTGTGCGTGTGTGCGTCGTTGTTTTGTGTGTTTGAGAGTCTTGCTCACCTGAAGCTTTGCAGTAAACATTTCAGAGGAAACTAACATTGCAACATTGTATCTGGTATAAAGTGACTTGAATCAGCAGTGAGAGCATTGTGGATACTAATGAGCAGAGTCATGTGACCTCAGATTAGTTACAGATGAAGTGTGTGTTTGAATCGTCAATAGCAGAGCTGTAACAGTGACAGCAGCAGCAGCTGTTGTAACGGAGAAGAGCTGGAGGAAGGTTCCACTGAGTTACACTGTTGAGCCTTCAAGCTCCATTCAGGAGAAATGAGCATCTGACCTAAGTAAATGATGATATTATCATTATGTCACAGCAACATAAATACATATTAGAGAGTAATGAGCTGTTTAACTTATAATACATCATTAAAATACCTAATGTTAAGATTTCTTTTATCAATGAAAATACTTTCTTTTTCCCCCAATCATTTCAATTGTGTATTTCATGCAAATCACCACTATAGATGCCAAACAAAATAAAAGGAAACGGTTAATAATATATATTTTAGTTCATTATTATTACTATTAGAAATCGACTGAAGTGAGATGAACCAAGTGAAAACGTTACCTTATTAGATAAAACAGATGTTGACAAACGGCATCATTTGCAGTAATAAATTGCAATATATCGCAATGTTTGATATTACAACACTCAGCATATCGCAATAATATCACGACTTAAATACCGTGATAATATCGTATCGGGACTTAAGTATGGGGATGTGACATAACGGGTAGGGCTGGGTTCTTTGATTCCTGATGTTTTTCATTTGCTATGTCACTCTCACTTTCTCTCGCTCTCTCACTCTCTCTCACTCGCTCTCACTTTCTCTCGCTCTCTCACTCTCTCTCACTCACTCTCACTCTTGCTCTCTCACTCTCTCTCACTCTGTCTCTCTCTCAATCGCTCACTCTCACTCATTCACTCACTCATTCACTCACTCTCTCTCACTCTCACTCTCTTTCTCAATTGCTCACTCTCACTCATTCACTCACTCATTCATTCACTCACTCTCACTCTTTCTCAATTGCTCACTCTCACTCATTCACTCATTCACTCACTCTCTCTCACTCTCACTCACTCACTCTCACTCTCTCTCACTCACTCTCTCTTTCTCTGTTTACATAGTTAGATGTTAATTAGTGACTTACAGTTTTTCTCGATTGCTAAGACACATTTCTTGAAACGGTCACCCATTTTCTCAAAACTGTAAACACGAAACCTCATCTTCAAGCGCTATTTACAAAACCTCTGAATCCTCTTGCAAAATGAAACTTTCGCCTCAAAACAGTTTTACCTGTGCTCAAAATCAAACACTGCTCTCAAATCATAAACAAAGTGATCAAAATAATATACACTGTCAAGCGGTCAGTAAACAATACACCAATAAATAGAAAACACATTGTTCAAAACATATAGTTCTCAGGGAGAAGTAGAATTTTAATCTCAAAACAAATTTCATATGAACGAAAACATGTTCTATTACAGTAGCTCAAAATTGATCAGAAATTACGACTGTGCTTTGCTCTTTGCAATTAATTTTGTTTTTCCTCCTCCTTGTACCCCTATTTTTACAGTACTGTACCCTGCATCTCACAAACGTGTCCTTTGTCTCTGATACTGTAATTCTTGTTCTTTGTTGATATGAACCTGCAACCAGTCAAAATCTATTGAGCAGTCAGTACTGTTACTGTGACAAATAGAAAGCACGATGTTCAAGGCCATACAATTTGTTTATTGTACATTATACAGCCTACAATGCACTGTAGGCCTACTACAGTATACAATACTACAGTAAAAGGGACAAAAATCAAAGGAGTCAACATATCATCAATGTGCTTCTTCTTGTCTTTGGGCTGGGTCAGGCCAGAGCACTTCGTCGACATCACAAGCAATATTTTCTCTCCTGAGGCAACGGGGGAAGAAGCCTCTTGTGTGCCGTATCCAGCCCTGCCATGATTCCTCACCTATATCACCACAGGCTAATTCCATGGCTTGCAGCAGATTTACTCTGGTGTAGGGTTGTCTATCATACACTTTCCATCTCCATGAGGAGAAAAACTCCTCAATCGCATTCAGGAAAGGCGAGTATGGAGGGAGGTACAAGGTCATAAACTGACCATTGATGTTAAACCATTCCCTTACCTGAGCAGCTCGGTGGAAACTGACATTGTCCAGCACTATCACATTGGTGGGAATGGGATTCTCATTTAGCTCTTGACCCTGCTGCTCAAATAAAATATCTCTTAGATTAGCCAGAAATCTTAGAAGATGCTGGGTGTTATATGGCCCGAGTGTAACATGGTGATGTAGAACACCATGGTTGCTGATAGCAGCACAGATTGTGACATTGCCACCTCGTTGACCAGGGACTTCAACAATGGCCCGCTGTCCAATCACGTTTCGGCCTCTCCTTCTCCTCTTTGTTAGATTGAAGCCCGCTTCATCGACAAAGATTAACTCATGGGGTCTGTCCAAGGATTCCAAGTCAAATATTGTCTGTGTAGGAATACAATATAATGTATGTAGAATTTAGTAAGTTGTACAGAGACAGTGCTATATTGTAGAGTTCGATTAGGCCTACTGTATGCACTTCTGATTCACATACATTGTATGTACTGAAGAGTAATGTCATTCACATAGTATGTGGCAGTACTGTAGACAATCTGGATTACAGTAAATGTGTCTGAATGTACACTTACTTGCACATACTGAGCTCGCAGTTCTTTCACCCTTGGTGAGTTGCGCTCAAAAGGTACTCTGTATACTTGTTTCATTCATATCCTGTTACGATGGAGGACACGGTCAATTGTGGAAATGCTCACACTGTCGATTCCCTGGAAGTGTGTGTTGTCTTGTATCACTCGTTCCTGGATTTCTCTGAGTCGTATTAAATTATCTTGAAGGACCATGCCCACTGTAACGGTCTCTTGCTCCTGAGTGAATATAGCTCTCCTTCCACCTGCATGTGGCAGCCTTGCAGTTCTACAAAAAGTAGATGTGCAGTTACAAAAAATATTCATGCAGTACAATACATACAGTGATGAACTTTACAAATGTCTATTGAAACAGCTGCATATAGTGTAGTACAGTAAATTTGCAATTACAAAAATATAGTAGCATACTGTACCTGTTCTCTTCTCTGAATGTTCTTACTATGGTGGACACAGAAAATCGGCTCAAATTGGGGTGCACTCTAAGTCCTGCTTCCCTCATTGCCAGTCCGTGGACTATAACATGGTCTATGACTGTTGCTCGAATTTCATCAGATATTTCCACTCTTTGTCTTCCTCTTCCTATTCGTCCTCCTCTTCCTCTTTCTTGCCCTTCTCCTCTTCCTCCTCGTCGCCCACCTCGCATACGCACTTGTCCTCGTCCTCTCACATTGTTTCTTCTATCCATTCTCAGACTTTCTCCTTCCCACCTTCAACCACCTGTTTGCTCTCTAAACTGGCTTATATTGGTTGTGTCACATCATTTGATACAAGTGAAATCAATTTTGAGTGATTGTGTTTAATCAATGACATGTGTTCTCTATTTGTATTTGATTGTTGCCACTTGTGTTTACCAGTATGGATGACATGTGCATTAGAGTGCAGAATGTGTTTTGAGACTGAGAATGTGTTTAGAGTTTGGCTGAAAAGTCTAAGTGAGATCTGCAAATTGTGTTTTACCATGTGAAACAGTTTAAGGTATTGACAACAGACTGCACAATTAGCTAAATGAGTTCAGGCAACTGAGAACTTTGTTCAGCCAATGGGTTTTAGTGTTTTAGCAATTGAGAAAAACTGTAATATATCAATATATTCTCACACATCCCATCCGTTTGATATCACGTATGAAGTCACATTAGTCTGGACAGAGAACCTGGGGTGGGGTGGAATGTGTCCACTGTGGTGTTTCCTCTCTGTCTGATTGCTGCTCTCCTTGTTGTGTGTTGACAGAGTGAGCTCCATAGGAACTGCTCATCAGCCAATGAGCTCTCCACCATGGTGTCCTCCAGCTGCAGCCAGCAGCCCTCGCTGCCATCTCTCCACTCAGGCACAGACTGTAGCTGGAAGCCTTTCGGTTCGTATCTGCTGGACTCCTCACATTTTACCATTTTGGGGGTTTCAGAGAATGACAGAGAGTTTTGGTGTCCTCTTAGTCAGTGGTCAGTGCCATATGAAATGTTGTTAATCGGTATCTATATCAACATTAAGGTTACCATTGAGTTCAATTATTATTGTGCAACAAAATTTAAATTTAATTCAATTTAGAATCTGAGAGCAGGCTGGGTCTATCAAACCATGGTAAATAACAGGCCACTCAAGTGCTGATGACTGTAAAAGAGGACATTTGGCATGCGGATGAGACTTTAACATTCCCAGAACACTTTAGTACACTTATTGCTAGTGTGCCATTGGTCTACCTACCGCGTGCCACCAGGTTGCCTACCCCTATCCAAGTATTAGTCTGTTGTCCCTTTAGCACCCACACGTTGGCTAGATATGTGGAAATAGAATTGATGACATAATAATACAAATAGAATGCACAGAGCATGTAGCAGTATGTTCTCCTCAGCTTTGCTCATGGAAGAACGTGGAAGCATCAAGACCAACAAACACAGCTGAGGATAAAGTAAATCTGATCTACTGTCCCTAACTATGCAACTCTTCTCTCTATTCTCAGATAAAAGGAACTACAAGCAGCTGCTGGGAGCCATGGACTACTCCTTCCTCTGTGCCTATGCGGTGGGGATGTACCTCAGGTAAGACCGTTGTATTCAGAGGTGAAGAATACATTTACCAAACTTTCTGAATGTAAGAAAAGGATATTGATACAATAAACTACAAAGCCATTATGTCAGAGGCCGTGGTGGTGAAAATCAGTGACTCTTCCTGCTGGCTTAAGCAAGCCCAGCTGATAACACATCCAGATCCACAGGTTAGTACCAGGTGTATCCCACATTAAAGCCTAATCAACCGTTTGTCTTTATTTTAGTTATGAACAGAACGTTTTGACGAATGAAGACAAGATCTTAAAGGTGTTAAAAGCCCTGAAAGACTCACAGCACCCACATCCCCCCCCCCCCCTCTCCCTCCAGGCTAGATGGACCAGTTTGTCTTAATAAACTTCTTCTGCATCTTAGACTGTGGCTGACACAGAGGAGCTGGAACAGAACAAACTACTGAACCGTCTTTCTTGTTTTCTGTCTCTGTGTGTTCTGGAGAGCTGCACGTATTCATCACATCTGCACTTCTTCTTCTTGAATCAATGTATTGTGGAGATCTAGATCCTGTATTAATGATGTATGTGGATTTATTTTAGGTGTTCTTATGATAACATTCAGTCTTGTCATGTAACCAACAAGAAAGCGCTCAGAAAGCACAAACCTCCACCAAGAGTGCACAATCTTAATACGTTTTAAGTTGATTTTTCAAAAGTATTCAATTACACAGTGTTCCTTAATCCTGTGGAGCTAGTGCCAGTTTGTTTCACTCCAGATACTTTGTACAGCTGCTGGACCTGGACCATCACTGTGAACTAATCACTGTTCCTGTGCTTTCAATGCAGTGTTTGAGATCTCCTGCTACCTCACAGACAAACAGACACAACTCAAAGATGTTGTCCTCTGTGAGGGAGACACTCAGCACCCTTATTGATGAGAACAAGTTGTTGGTTAATGTAATGTCACCACTGTGTGCCCATGCAGCGGCATCATCGGAGAGCGCGTGCCCATTCGACTGTACCTAACCGTGGGCATGCTGACCAGCGGCCTGTTCACCTGCCTCTTTGGACTGGGTTACGTCTACAACATTCACAATCTGGGCTTCTACATATTTGTCCAGGTGAGACACAATATTTCAGTAGTAAATCCTGAAAAACACTTCTGTCTCTGAGGACCACAGGGATGGAGCTTGTTGTCCATCGTCGCTGTGTTACAGTAGATGGCGGTCGGCACGCCCCGAGTTTGGGGGAGTTTGTGACACCGTTCTGTGGCCACGGATGTCATGCATAGCGTTGTACTGCTACCCTACCCGCTCCTCAGTGGGCGAGGATCGGCATAGCGTTGTACTGCTACCCTACCCGCTCCTCAGTGGGCGAAGGTCGGCATAGCGTTG